GAAGCTGTACTAGGTAGACAACACATTGAAAATATTTAAATGTTTGTGTTAGTTTATGTACTGTTGTTTGCAAATACTTGGTCACTCCTGATTGTTGTTGTGTCTGAATGTATAACAGAGCTCAACAGCAATCATATTCACAGTCATGTGTCTTTAAATTACAATGAATGTGTTTGGAAGTCAGTCTGTGTAAATTAGATACATTGTTCTTGTTCTAAATTACATTCTAGTTGCATAAACTGTTATTATTCACTTAAATTGTCTGAAAACAAACTTGTCTCTGGTCACATCCCTAAAATAAAATAAAATCTTTGTCCACATGAAATGTTGGGAAGTATATATATTTAAGTCATTATATAGTTAATGCATTAAAAATATTGTCTAAAGGTCACATATTTGGGTTTTTTTTTAATGCGTACTTAAAATGTGACAGTCTGTCCCGGAGATGCAGATTCAAAGCATGTGACAGGATTGTAATTCTTGAGTTGAACCAAATTAACCCTCTTTTAAATACTAACGTAAAATCGTTCTTGTCATCTAAAAATGTCCAAATTATTTAATTTTTTTTTACTTATGTCATGTGTTGCTTGTTATATGATGTCTGTCAACTCTGTCATATAAAAATAAAGATTATTTACAAAAAATAAATAAAAGAAATGAAATTACATACCTTTTGCCCAGTCTCATTAGAACACATTTATCTGGATATTTCTGACTTTAGTTTTACAAGATTTAGGGGGCATCTGTTTGTTCTCTTTTGAATGTAACTTTTTGTTTGCAACACTAAAAAACACATTTTGATTTGTTTATCCCAGGCATACTGTTGTGGTTTTACCATCAACATGTTCGCAACACTTTCTGCATTTCGGAATGAGTCAAAAAAGCACCTGCTATAATTGTTTGAATGAGTAACTATTTGTTCAGTATACTAGCTAAACAGGTTTTATACAAAAAAACATTCAATGTGAACTAAAAAGGAGGTTTAAATTAGTATAGAGAACTTCAATGCAACAAAAATAAATATGTAGATATATTTTCACCTGCCCCCATTTAAAAAAGATTAAACTAAAAAAAGTATAATTAATGCTGAGGAGAAGTGACGAAAATAATTTGGATGGTCTTCTGAACTGAAAAATCTCAATTTATCCAGTTACAGAAAATAAAATTTGAGGCGTAACTTATTATCTGTACATTTATCCAGTTTATTCCTAAAAGCAACATAAAACAAATCTTGGACTCTAGCCACGTGTGACACATACGACATCACGCATGATTTAGAAGCTCACTGACAGCTGTCAGCTTGCCCAGTTTTTCTTCGTGGCATTTGTAATACCAGTAGTATAGTAAAGCAGAATAACAGAGTCAATGCACAAGCATGGTGAGAGTTTGAGTGCAAGGATAATACATCTATTTTTGAGCTTGGTGATGCAATATTTGTTTCGGGTTACACAGCTATCATCCACCATCATGCATTTCTTATTCAGGCTTAAACTCTTAATTTTTTTATTTTAACTGTTTAGTAGATATATTCCCAAAGAAAACATGCTTTAATTTTTGTCTGCATGTTTTCTTTGGGGCATATGAAACAACATTCTTAAAGCTGTAGTCCTGCTGTCTGCAACCTTTGCAAGCCTTAACCTCTTCCTCCAGCACAGACTTTTGGTTTGAGCCAAGGATTTGACTAGTCACAAGCTTTTCATTGAGAATCAGCTTTCCAATGCTTCTCAGTGAGCTGTAGGCAAGTGGTCTACAGTCTAGCGTGCCTGCTGGAAGAAAGATGTCAGATTTTCAGCAAGAATAATGTGGTAGATGGCAGCACTGTAACACGACTGTGTAATACAAAAGCAAATGCAAACATACCAAATTAAGCCCAGTGCTCAAACTCACACTCCTCATACTCCTGGGACCCCGTGTTTCCTATTAAGGGTTAATAAGTGTGTCAGGGTTTAGAAAACAACCCCTCTGTCTCAGAGATTTTACCTTTTAGCTGAAAGCAGCCAGGTGAATTGTTAGTGTAGGACTCAACTAAGAAGTTCTGCCTTGATGTGGCATGTGAGCTTACATTTGAATGATACTAAAACCCCAAATTATTTGGGGTAGTTCGCAAGTAACTTTTTCCTTTGATTTTTAATGTATGTATTGAGGATGATGTGTATTATAGTCATTCCTGACCCCCAGGAGTAGTGGGAGTTTAAGAGCAGGGCTTAATTTAACACATTTATAAAACTTTCAATGTTCTAAATTGAGGGAGGTGGGGAGGGGCTTTGAAACTTCTTGTGCTCGTTGCAGGTGTAGAAACAAATTATACCTGTGCATGTGGACGACAGATGTACTGTGAACATACAGATTCCTAACACCATGACCACTTCTAAAAGTATAGGATGAAAGAATCAAAGTGTATAGTTAGCATAGGACTCCATAGTGTTCCTGCATATGGGCACGTGACACTTTGATGTTACCTGTTGCAGGAGTAAAACCTTATTTGAAAAGAAAATCTGGGAATAAATTGTTGTTTTTTTTTGCGCTTTTTAAAGTATACAGGTAGTTCCGACTTTACGAACTAATTGGTTCTGAAGCCTGGTTCATAAAGTGAGAGTTCATAAAGCGAGAACTAACTTCCCATAGACTGCAATGTAATAAACATGGGTTCCATTCCTGACCAACAAAGCATTAAAAACCTACATTATTTAATACAAAATGAAAGCATAGCAAATACATGTATGTTGTAGGAACATTAAAGGAATACATAACATACTGAAATCTTCAAATTATCATCAATCATCATCACCCTCAATGAAGCGACATGCCGTACTTGTTGAATGGCGACACCTCTCTACAGCCCTCTTACTTATTCACTTTCTTCTCTATCAACTTCCCCTCTCCTTTGTCACCTTTATTTTATACACTTTTTTTTTTTTTTACTCCTTTGATTTTTACTCCTCTCAAACTCACTTCCTTCTCCCCTGTCTTCAGGCTATTCAGTCCTCCTCCTGCTCCTCACTGATGCTGCCTGCAAAAACATGGCACAATGGCAAACACACACACAGACAGCAATGTCAGAAAAATCAAGTCAAATCTCAACTCAATAGTATACAGTGTAGTAATATTAGAGTCATGTCCATGAAAGCGCAGAAAGCCTACAGGACAGTCTAAACCCGTTTTTTAGACTTGCTTTTATCTTCAGGAACCGTGTTTCTGATCCTCTTCTCTCTTCTTTTCTACTCCTGGACACAAATTCTACTTCTTCTCTTCTTGTTTGTGCTCCAAAGTACGCTCCTTTGTCCTGATCCGCAGGCCACTGGATGGTGGTGCATCCAGGAAAAGTTCATAAAAGGTGGGAGTTCATAAAGCGAGAAATACCTGTACTAGAACTCACCAACTCCGGACAGATCTTGCTTTCTTTCTGCTTCTCTGGCTTTAGATATTAAATGTTTCCTCTTTCCTAGAATCCAGCCTCTTTGTAGAGAAATAATTGCAAACTGACTTTAGGTATTTAAAGGGAGGCGCCAGCGTAGGAGAAAACAATATCATAAACACTATATAAAGAAAGTGAACATAAACATTTTCAGTTATTCTTCAAGGTGACAATAAGAATGGCATGGCATCACACGATCTCCCCACCAACTTCACTCAGTGCAGCATTCTGGAATATCACTGCTTAGGCTTGGTAAAAGGAAAAACACTGTGAATTCTAAATAAAAGGAGTGGTGCAAACACCATAACCACTACAGCTCCTTGTGGTGTTAATAGTGCAAAGTGTCCGAGGATTCCGTCCTCATTGTTTGTTCAAAATAATTTTAGAGAGTTATTACAAAAAATAAAAATCGGATTCTCCTGGAGCTTGTATTCTGGTTCATGCCTTCCACTAGTAGGTAGTGAAAAGAAAATCATAAAATTAAAAAAAATATTTTAGGGGGCTTGGCCAACTTCCAACTGCAGTGGTTCGATGGAGTGACAGCTCCGGACTTCACTGAGCCCATAGCACAAATTTAGTGGCCAGTTTGCAAACAAAATAGACAAGCTGTTGGTGCCAATCCTGCTGACATATATGGCACCCACAAAACAATTAAAACTCACTGACCTGGTGAGCAACAACAACAAAAAAACCCAGCCACCGGCATAATCAAGGTGGCGGTGAAGCTGAAGCGCAATCGCCTTTGTCTGAAGGGATTCCTGATTCAGAGTCAAATTCTAGCTCCCACAAGGACGACCCTATTACAGAGAAGAGCCTCCATACTATGCTGCAAGAACTTCGGGCCACATGGCAGGCAAAGTTTAAGCAACTTTCTGATGATTTCCGCAAGGATATGGTGGAATTAAGAGAGAGCACAAGCCATCTGGAACAAAGAACCGAGGAACTCTACACAGTGCATAATGAAGTGGTCGAGAGGCTACAAAAGCTGGAAGAAGACCATTCAACCTTGAAGCACAAAATGGCCAATCTGGAAGATCGTGCAAGGCATAATAACATCCACTCAAGTTATTGTAGACTGACTACAGAAGCACTGCCAGAGTACATCAAAACATTAAGCAAGTTCCTGGTTCTTGGTCTGGATGATACAGTATGAGAACAGGATTGGGTGCATAGACTGCCTCGGCCACCGCACTTTACCGCGGACACCCCGAAAGACACCATAGCGAGTTTCCATTTCTTCAAATTAAAGGACGAGCACCTAAATGCAGCTAGGAAACTACCAACCTTACCAGAGCTCTACCGAAAGATCGATATATTTGTGGACTTATCTGCCTCCACCATGTCCCGCAGAAGGGAGTTTATCACAGTGACGAAGACCCTAAGTAATAACAAAATCCCATACCAGTGGGGATACCCGACTAAGCTGTTGGTGTGGCACAATGGAAGATCGGTGGTGATCCTGGAACCCGAGGTGGACTTTGCAAAAATCAGAGAATGGAGACTATTCCCTTCAACTGAAGTCAACTTAAAACGACCGTTTGCAGCGAAACTCCCACAAGAATGGAGACCCACTGGACCACCGTCTCGATGTCCTGCACATCGCCCGGGCTAGGAGAGACTATTTACCTGCACCTCAAGAAGCACTGTGTAACCCATCCAAGCTTAAGTACCTTGTTACCCCAATGTTTGATTGTCTGTTAGTTGCTTGAGGTGGTAAAAGGAGGGATGAGGTACAAGAAGAGGTATAGTCATATACACATAAGAAAGCAAAAAAAAAGAAACAAAGAAAAAAAAAGTAAAAATAACGGGAAAAACAGGGAAAAAGATAGAAAGGGAGAAAAAGTAGAAATAAAATAAGAAAAAAAAGGAGGTTAGAGATAAAGGGGGACGGTGGGGAAAGGTCACTGCCTTTATGTTTGTTTCATTGTATGTGTGACAAGCCACTCAATAATGCCAGACCTGAGTTGATAAAGGGGTCATACGGGCTCCTAAACATGTCAAGTATCACTGTCCCCAACATAAAGATCCTCCTTGAGATTAGCAGCATGAGAGACATTTTTATTCAGATCTATATAGATCATTTTCCCCAATCAAGGACTTCCTTTATCTGTGTCCACTTGGTTTTTGGCAGGAGATTCATTCTTGCCTCCTTGCCGGTTACTCAACCGATAGGACCTGAATAAACCTTCAGGCATAGTACTTTAATTTTTCCAAAGGCAACGCAAAGCTAATATGTCCTGTTCGCTCATGTGTGTTTATGTTTTTTTTCCCCCACCTTTCTTAGGTATGATTTATCATTTAGTTGCATACAGTAGATTGGACATATGAGAGACCAAAAACCCATTAAAAAAAAATAAAATAAAAAGACAATACAAAGAGTAGAAAGTGTACCAGTTATCACCAACGGTATACAATGACACAGACTGGCACTACCTGTAATGCACCATAAACCGACTCTACGGGCAAACAGTGAATAGGCACGCACCCCCAGGCTAAATTGTTGGGTAGGATGCCTATCTCTGCCCACTTTGACTGAAATCTTTGCAACATGTCCGACATGATAAGTTACAAGCCGCCTGGCAGGGCCCTTATAAAGTAATGGAACAAAGTTTTGATACCACTTATATAATTGGCCCCTGCGCCAGACGCTTCTACGTTTGGATTGGAAACAGTACTAAGCCAAGTCGGGGCCGATGGCGGAGAACATCCCGTAACCTACATCAGTCGGAAACCGTTACCTAGAGAAGTGAGGTACACCGCCATCGAGAAGGAGTGCCTGGCTGTGGTGTGGGCCCTAAAGAAGTTACAACCATATTTGCATGGACAACCCTTTTCTTTGCCCCACGGCGGGGGACAATGCCAGGCTGCTGCACTGGAGTTTGGTGCTGCAGCCGTTTGACTTTAACATCCAGTACCGCCCGCGAAAACAGAATGGCAGCGCTGACGGGTTGTCCAGACAAACAGACCTTGAAAAATGATCCGTGAGCCGCCCGGTCATCCCCAAGCCGATCCGTGTTGGATCAGACTGTGCATGCCGGCTTGTGGGAGCAGTGTAGCGGAAGGCATGGGGCTGTCCTCAAAGGTTGTGTTAAAAATGTAATTCGTGTGTTTATTCTCGTGTATAGATAGATTGTATGTAGCATTCGTATGATTGTTCGGTAGTTTCCATCCGTATTCCATACAAATGAAAACTACCAAATCATTAGACCACCCCAGAGAGAAGTGTGCACCTTATTAGGCTTTCACACTTCTCTAACAGCAAGTTAATTGATGCAATCGGTACTTTGTATACGGATCTGGGTGACCATCTTACACACGAAAAACTCAACGGTGTTTGGTCGTCGGGTGTCTGGAACTCAAATCGGACACTCAACCACCCGAACACCGCTGAGCCCTCCAGAGCTCCATAACGGGGCGGCCAACCAACCTCTCGTTCGGTGAACTAAAAGTACCGAACAAGGGTATTCATACGAATACCGATTTAATGGTGGATGACAAGTATTTCTATGTATTTTATCTCCCGAACGGAGACCGACCACAGGGCCAAAACACATGGAGCCCTTTTAGGATACCACCTCATGTGCGGTCGGTCAAATTGTCTCTTCCACATAACTCCCAAACCCCTTGTACGATCTGGGTGAATTTTAAATATGTTGGCCATCCAGATCAGGGCTACTAGGTGGTACCACTTAGATAATTGTACCTGACTGTTATGGGGTACATCCAGAAACCGGGTAAAACTGTAGCATGTATAAATGGATTATGTGTCACACTGAGGGGAGGAGATGTATGGGAGGTAACTATTGTACTACTGGCTACTGTGCAAATTAATGTGAATCCCTCCCTTGCATGGGAGAAACCTTTCAAAGGAGTTTGTGTGATTAAAAGTTCAGTTCTGCTCCTGATGCTATGTGTCGTCCAGTCATTGGGATTGATGTTGGGATATTATTGGATTGTCTTGCCTGCTGGAATAATTGCCTTATGGATTTTTAATACTTGTTCCTGAGCCTTACTGGGATCTTAAGTGGAGATAACCGGTGGAGTAGCAGCTCTCCGCTACAGGCGTATTCCCTTTTGGCCTGAATGTTATCTTCTACATATAGTACCATCTCTACATGAAGACCGTCACCGAACAGGGATTATTAAGGTACTTTTTTGCAGCAAAAATTACCATAGCGAGACATTGGAAAAGTGATCACTCCCCCAGTGTTGATTAGGTGCTTGCAGGGGTAGACTACCATCAAGAAAAAATGGCTTATAAAAGAGGCAGAGAAAATGCTCATGGTAAAAAAATTGACTTTGTTGTATATCATTCCTAATTCTTTCACTGGGAAATACCACAAACAAGAAATAATACTATAAGTACGGGTGGGGATCAAAATGTAAGGAAGGCAAGACAGGTTGTGGTGGTAGGGGACTCTATCATTAGGAGAGCAGATAGGGCAATCTGCCGCTCTGATCGGCTCAACCGGACAGTTTGCTGTCTCCCGGGTGCTCGGGTCCGGCATGTTGCTGACAGAGTGGATGGATTATTGGGAGGGGCTGGGGATGACCCAGCGGTCATGGTCCATGTTGGTACCAATGACAAAGTAAGAGGAAGATGGAAGGTCCTAAAGAATGATTTCAGGGAATTAGGTAGCAAACTTAAGAAAAGGACCTCCAAGGTGGTATTCTCTGAGATATTACCTGTGCCACGCGCTACAGTGGAAAGGCAGCGGGAGATTAGAGAGGTCAATGCGTGGCTTAAGTCTTGGTGCAGGAAGGAGGGTTTTGGGTTTTTAGAGCACTGGGCCGACTTTGCGATTGGGTACAACCTTTATAGTGGTGATGGATTGCACCTAAATGGGAGAGGGTCTGCAGTGCTGGGGGATAGGATGGCTAGAAGGTTGGAGGAGATTTTAAACTAGTAGTAGGGGGGGAGGGTCATAGCAATCTACAAAATGGAGATAGGACAGAAAGGAGATGGGCTTTAGCACAGTATAAGGGGGGTGGAAACGGGGGGAGGGGCAAGCTCAGAACAGAGAAGCTGTGTAATGTTGAAAATTCACAAAATATACAAGTGACGCATAATATTAAATGTATGCTTACTAATGCAAGGAGCCTAAATAACAAAATGGGGGAACTAGAGGCATTAGCATACACTAAACAATATGATATAATAGGCATAACTGAAACATGGTGGGATGAGACACATGACTGGGCAGCTAACTTAAATGGGTACATGTTATTTAGGAAGGATAG